GATTTGAATTTTTGCGATCGTTGTTACTGTTCTAAAAAACGTTCTTAATATGTATCGGATATCCCAATTTGTAATAAACAAAATAAGGAGACTTGCAACAATATTTCTGTCTGGTCAGTCGACATCTCAGACCAGGCTCCAAATATTTAAAAGGCAAATTGTTTTTTCGGCTTAAAAAAAGCTCCACATAAAGGAGATAAAAAGGCCAGGCAAAAGAACAGCATGCCCAGCGGGAGAGGCACCGTCAGCCAAGGATGTCTACAGAGGGTTCCGCGTTTTTCTAAACAATCCATGACGAAAGGTGTTATTATTAATGGAGCGCAGCTCTGAATATTTTATTGAAAATATCGTTAGTAACTGTACGATGAGCAGCCACTTTGGATAAAGCTATTTTTCGCTGTCGTCGTATATAGGCCGGCCCTGCTTTAACTCTTGGGCTCTAAGAAAAGGATGGCACGCTATGGTTGCGGCGGCTACTGCTCCAAACGGCACTAAGCGATGAGCAATTCCAGGTGATTTGACTTTGGTTAGGTATTTTTTCAGCGCGACGCTAGTGAAGATTGCCGTTGCTGTGCCAGCAACGAAAGATGTAGCAATTTGTTTGTTACTTATGGGCAACTCGTCGTTTCTATTACTCGAATGAATAAGAGCATTATAACCTTGATTTATTGTTTGCCATAATGCTAAAGCTGGAATGCTTTTGTAAAACATTAACATTCCACCAAATAAAAGTGTCTTGCAGTAAACATACGAAGATGGTCGAGTCAACAAAAACTTCCGTTTTCCTGTAACTGGGTCAAAAGCTGAGTCGTATATAGTTTTCGCTCTCCACAGATCTCGCCTTGAATAACCTTTTGGTATGAAGTCCTCACAAAGATACCGATTGACGACATAATCAGAATCTCGTAGCCTCTTGTTCGATACAAAAAAATTTACTGGATTCGTAGCAGAAAAAAAATATCGTGCTCTGCCTAGATATGACTCTTGATCACACCTGGCTCGTTCAAGTTAATTTTGCATCTATTTTTCCTGCAGCATTCACAACATGCCATAGCATAATACATGAATTATTGGTTCGGCGTTCACTATAATTTTAAAACAGGCCAGGGTGATTGTTTTACAACGTTTCACACTTTTACATTTTAAAAATGACTTGGGTGGATTATAACAGCAAATAATTTAACATTCATTTTTTCTAAATATCTTTAAAAAGTCGAAATGATGACAGTCAATATGTTGACAATTTATCTGCCATTAAATATCGAATGAAAATAAACGTCAATCAAAAGTAAAGTTTGTTTCTTCTTTTTCTTGTCTGTTGACACTCGAAAGAATATACTGACATCATGTCTCGATCGCTCGGATGGTGGCTGTTCATCCTTCTCCCCCTCTCTTGGGCTGGTAGGGAAGCTTGAAGCTTTTCTATACTGTAACAATTTTCAATTAAAGGTGACTCATCTGGTTCCGTGTGTGTGTTGTATGTACTTGAAAAAAGTGGACTGTAAACACTTTTAGCTGTATTACTACTAAAAAATAACACTTCTTGGTCTTGAAATATTTATTTTCAATAGTACCTACTGACAAATTGGAAGTACGAATCTGACCTGTTGCGTATAGTTCACCAAATATAGCTGAAAGTGTGAAATTCCCATTGCCTGCGCTAACAATGAAGTGAGAACGCACATACAAACGGTCTGGACCGTCAGTGCGAGTGCGAGGTCGGTCGTTTGACGAATGCACATCACGATCGTCACGCGTTTTCACACTTTCAGCTATACTTGGCGAACTATACCTTCCGACATCTTTTTTTAAACTCCCCAAAATTTGCGCGGTGGGCCAGGTACTTACAATCTGCGTTCTAACCTACCATAGGCGTCCAGAATAAAAATAGAATGTAATATTAAAAAATATGAACTAAATAATAATGGCCTTAACATCATCTACAAATTGAACTGAGAGCTAACGGCAACAATGTTAAATGTCAGAAGTAAATTCTTATCGACACTTATCGGGGTCATTTTTATTGTGTATGCTTCGCCAATGTGAATCAGTGAAAAGTAAGATGATTCCAGAAAATTGGTCCGCGTAACAATATACTTTCTACATACAGGTGCAATTCACGAGCGAATATTTGAACAAGTTCATTGAATACTTTAAAATATTGAAGAAGGAATGAGAGAAAATTGAATATTTGAATAAAGAATTGGATTGAGAGAAATAGTTTATTTGTTCCACATGCTATATGTGCATAATGTGGTATGTTCATGTGAATATATTTATTAAATAGACTTTATTACACACTGCGTCAATTTTAAACCTTACAATGGGTTATATCTCACGAACAAAAGCTGATATCAATCCATCAACCCCTTAGGCCCCACCCACTACAATCAACAGTTTAAATTGCAAACCCCTACTTGTGATACATCATTGAAAAGACTATAAAAATGCTATCCAATGGTATAAATAATAATTATACAGGGTGAAGCAATAATTGTGAAACTTTTGGATGACTTTTGTATTTGTAATGCTATCTCCGGACTACTATTGTTAATGATAAGTGGCCGTCGGATTTTTTTTTTTTTAGTTAAATAAAAACTTAATTTGCCGTTTTTGCAAAAGAAGTTGAAAACTGTTTTTTTTTTTGGGTTCTGTCAGATTCAATAATTTTTGGTTTAGTTGAGAATTTTAAATATCATTAGTTTTCATCATTTGTACGATCGGTAATTGAGGTCCTTGGAAATTTTGCAATAGAACCTACTGCATCAACACGTCAAGTATCTGCAATGACAGGATTTTCACATGAGTGGGTAGAAAGGGGATGGAATTAAATAAGTTTCATCCGTACAAAACACAAATTCTTCAAGAACTAGGCCATAATTATCTAGACCGACGAATTGAGTTTTCTGAAGGTCACACTCAATATCCTGAGAAACTGAATGTTTGGGCAGGAATATTAGGCGATGTTATAATTGGCCCCTTGTTCATACCAGCTAATTTAAGTGGCGACATTTATCTCGATATGCCGGAAAACACCATCGAACCTTTAATTTTGCATGAATTAGAGAACCAAAGGGACGATCAAGGCAACCTAGCTCTAGACGAAGGTTTGCTGCACTTCCAACAAGATGGACCACTTCCTCACTATGCAGCTCCAGTTAGACACTGGTTGGATACACAATTACCCGAACAAATGGATTGGAAGAAGAGGTCCTATTGAGTGGCCACGGAGGTCACCAGACTTACCGCCACCTGACTTTTTTCTTTGGGGTTACCTCAAGTCAGTTTTTTTATAAAACTCAACCTACGTCACTTGGGGAATTGCGAGAAAGAATTACGCACGCATGTCGCGCTATTACTAGAACAACATTTACCAAAGTTCGTGCAGAATTTGAAAATAGGCTGTATTATTGTTTTTCTACTCTCTTACTAGTAAATTGTATATTACCTACTATTTGGATGCTAAGTAAATGCATCATAACAGATACTGAACACGTAATGACTAGCACGTAATAAAAAAATTACGCTTCAGTTTTATAAAAATGTGTAATACCACATAAGCCTTGTAAGTCAGTTGGTCGAGTTACCATGGAACGAATTAACAGACGTTATTTTGACAGATTAAAAATTATTAATCTGTCAGTGTAAATATAGTGGTAATTTAATTTTTATTTTTATAAACGAAAATAATGGTAGAAAAAGTATAGTACACAACTTGAGTTGTAAGCTTATTACATGTTTGTAAAATTACTGCGCTCGCCGCTACGCGGCTAGCGCGCAACTTTTTTACTCGCATGTAATAAGCTTCTTACAACTCTCGTTATGTAATATAGTATTACAAAACAACGGAACCTACTTTGAACATTTACCTAATTGACATTTTTAACAAATTTATAGTTCAGACAAATAGAATTTGTCATTCCTTATTGGCGACGTGCAAGTACTTGGATGTGATACGAGAAACGATCGTGCGCGAGTAGCGGAGAAATCTTGCATTTTTTACTGCAAATTTCATAGATTTCATAAATTCATATTGTCAATTGTCATATTTCATATTCGTTTGTTTATTTACACCTTCTGTCACTGAAGAAAATGGGATTTAGGAAATGCTGTGTTTATAAATTGTAAAAATACAACAAAAAAATTTGTCAATTTAAGTTTTTATTCGTTTCCAACTTCGAAGCACAAATTACTGCAAAGAGAAAAGTGGATTTATATCATAAAAAAAAAAACATAAGTAACATAACCTAAATTATGCATTATTCTTGCGCTCGATTTTAAAGTCAGTTTGAAATAAATAATATAATAAAAGTTCACTTTTAAGTGTAAATTTTAGTTTCATAACACTCACTTAGAGTTCATTTTAACCCAAAAATCAAGTTTAACGTTTAAATTATATTTTTTGAAGTTTACAAAAATGCATCAAGTTCAAGTTTTTCTGAAGATGCATTAAGATATATTTGCTGTCCAAAACTTTATAGGGAAAGAATTAATTGTTCAAACCAATATGATGATATCATGGGCTTAACCTGTTAATTTATGCATTTATGCAGTAGCATTATTTATGGTAATTTATTTTTCTTAATTCTTCCACATAATTCTTTCATTCTTTTTTGACATTTGCCACTACTAAAGCTTTTCCATTTGACTCAGTGCTTGGTTGAAAAGTTATTTGGTGATTTACTTTCTCAAATCCAGTTTTTATTATTGCATCCATATTAACAGTAATGCTGTAATTTAATAATATATTTATTTGTATTTACACTACATACAACGTTTACCTTTTAATAACATACCGACATAACCTAAATCTTACTTTTTCTTCTTATTCTTTTTTGGGGCTACATCCTTGACAGTTATCCGGTAACCTCGATCTAACATGAAAGCGCAGTAAATTTTGCTGATTTACGACACCAGGTGTCGCTGTTCCGAACTTGCACGGTCCCAATAAGTACTTTGTGAAGTTATTTACGTTTAAACGACGGTAATATATAACTTACCTGTGGCAAATCTCCGGGGGTACGAGGAACGTTCAACAAATTTGGCTTTATACTAATCGACGCGTCTTTCTTGGCGTCCTGGGTTTGAAATACTGCTAATTCTTCAGGCCTCTTGTTCTTAGCTGCCTGCTCTTGTCTCTTACATCGTAATTTTCTCTCGGCAAGAAGAAAGTATGTAGCTGTTATATGGTTGTATTCGTTTTTATCGAGAGATCTAAAGGTAAAATAAGTGTTATTTGTTAATGGAATAATATTCAAAAAGTTAGTTAAGTAGATTGTGCATGTGCATGTCAAATCAAAGATAGTTGAAAAGAACAGTAGAATAAAATGTAATAAAGACAGCTAATTGATCCGTTCTCTGATACTTTTTTGGAAGATATTTCAAAGTAACAGCTGTAGAACATATCCTTTTAGAAAATAAAAAGCTGAAAAAATGTCTTCGTTGTAGTTTTATGTACTTAATAATAGAGTTTCAGGTTTGGTGAATGGATAAGCAAGGCTGCTTTAAGCACACCACTAAATCGCACCCCCACGTTCGCAACTTCCGACCAAGCGGCTTAAGGTGGTAAAATTTATATACTTTTTAGGTACAGTTAGGACTTAGGAAAATTATGAAAAGATTTGATCAATAATGTAAGAATTAAAACTGTTATTCTAAATATATTAATGTCAAACAACTTACTCTTGAATTTCTTCCTTGGTGGCAACGTTTCCATTGACTATTTTTTGAACAATAAGATTATGGTCCTCGTCCGAAAGATGTTCTCTAGAAACTAAAGGTACTGAGTCTACGGTTACGGTCTTACTACTACTGAGCCAAGGATGCTTTGAAATTTCGATCAACGTTGCTCGTTTTTCTGGATTTCTCAACAGCATCCTAGATATCAAGCTAAAAGGGAATATTTTACATGGATTAACTGAATAAATATAAAGAAATTTCAATGACTTCGTATTACGAGGATAGATTGATATTAAACTATCCTTTCCTAGATGGCGCTACTTGATACCGAATTGGTTTCGGTGTAGACATTTGCCATTCATGACATGATGTCTGTCAAAATTTTAAGTTTTAAAAACAATTAGTTTGGTTGTAACAGCAGTCAAAAGCAAGCAAAAATGGTGATTAAGTTGCTCCACAAAAAGGGTAAAACAGAATGTGCAAATTAAAGCCGAGCTGGACGAAGTTTATGGTGAGGTTGCATCTTCGTTAGCAACAGTAAAATTTTGGAAAGCTGAATTTGTTCGTGGTTGTATGAGTGTTTTTGAAGATGAGCGTCCTGGGAGGCCAAATGAAGCCACCACGCCTGAAATGATCAACAGAGTCCATGACATGATTATGGCAGATCATCGAATTAAGTTAAGCGAGTTAATAGAAGTTTATACAGTTAATAGAGATTTGAACATGAAAAAACTATCCGCGAGATGGGTGCCGCGTTTGCTGACAATCGATCAAATGAAAAAACGTGTGACCACTTCGGAAACGCTTTTGGCGATGATACGGCGCGATCCGAAGGATTTTTTTTCGCCGATTTATCACCGTTGATGAAACCTGGGTGCATTATTACACACCGGAAACCAAAGAATAGTCGAAACAGTGGAGCAAACGCGGCGAAGGGCCGCCGAAGAAGGTAAAGAGTGCACATTCGGCCAGCAAAGTGATGGTTCTTTTAGATTTTTTTTTTTTGATAACACAATTTACTAACTGATTGCTAGAAAAATATGATGGCGACTGTTTTCTGGGATGCGAAGGGCATCATCCACATTAACTACTTGGAAAAAGAAAAAACAATCAATGGTGAGTACTACGCAGCATTATTGGATCGATTCGATGCCGAATTGCGTCGAAAAACGCCACAGTTTGGAACACAAAAAGTGCTCTTTCACCAAGACAATACACCGGCTCACCGATCGGCCGTCGTGATGGCAAAATTACACGAATTGTGCTATGAATTTGTTAAATACCCACCGTATTCCCCAAATCTTGCGCAGCGAATTTTTCCTGTATCCAAACCTAAAAAAATGGCTCGGAGAGCGCCGTTTCGCAACAAATGATGAGTCGTCGCTGAATCTTCGGCCTGTTTTGAAAAACTCGAGCAAAAGTACTATTCGGATGGGATAAAAAAATTGGAACATCGTCTTACTAAGTGTATCGAGCTAAAAGGGGACTATGTTGAGAAATAAACCGATTTAATTCCTAAAAACTTGTTTTTTCTATCAAAGGACTAGTTTTATATCAATCCACCCTCATAAATACATTTTAACAACGCTGAAATAGACTATAACTGTGTTATATAAAAAAGACCGAGAACATTATTTCACTTTACTCTCGTACGAAGATCTCCAAATATTAACTCGAACATAATAAGGAAATCTATTTTATACTTACTTCCGGCAATTTTGTGATACATGCAGGGGAATATCATATTTGCAGTCCATGATCATTGTAAGGGTTTCAGAGTCATTGGCTTCTTGGAATGGAGGTTGACCACACACTAACATATACAGAATTACGCCTAACGACCAAACATCTGCAAAATATGTATTATAATTATAATACTCTATCCGTGTATTATATTACAGCTTAAAATTAGGGTCATTTCAAAGTTCTTTTAGATTTTTTTTTTTTGATAACACAATTTACTAACTGATTGCTAGAAAAATATGTTGCTGTTTGACAAAAAGGGGGCTTCCCAAAATAATTTTTAAAAGCTATTTATTAAATTCATAGTTTTTGTTTATTTGGTTTTATCTGTCGATTGTCAATTTTTATAATGTTTCTTAATTGTTAGTATGTTTCAATGTGCATAAATTCTGTTGTGCAAAAGTATTGATCAAAAGACTGATATTTTTTTGTACACACTTATGACAAGTCGAAAGAAAATGTAAAAAAGTATTTTTGAAGTGTGTATATTTTAGGCAATTCCTAGAGCGCTTTCGGCTTTACAAAGCCATCATCAGAGCTATGCTACAATAAAATGTTTTTCTTACATAATGCTACAATAAAATTCTTAAAACATATAAAAAAAATATATAAAAAAAGCCGACACTGGACTTCACAAACACGTTAAAAAAATTGAAAAAATTTTTTGTCATGGTACGGGTGTAAGAAACCCGACCATTGTTTGATCTGAGGAGGTAGGCAGAATAGAACTAATGAAATCAAATGTCGGTCCCTTTAAACGATTTTTTCAAAAGTGACAGTTGACAAATGTCATATATAGGAAATAGAGATTGTTTTTTAAATTCTTACAAAAATATTTAATGTTTGGAATTACTAATAGTCATCAAAGACTTTCTAAAAATTAAGTGTTTAAATTAAATTTTATGTGTTCATCACATCATACAGAATGACAATAGTTTTTAAATTCACTCAAATCATTGCTCAAGGTCAATGTATGTTCAATCTGACAGCCATCCTTAAGAAACAAGGGCTCAAATTGTTCAACAACAATATAAAGAAAAAACATGGTATTAATGTTACGTTATCTGATACTTAAGTGTATTGAGAATTGTATCTCTTGATGGAAATTTGTAAGAAATTTGCATAAGAAATTTTTTAAGAATGTATTTTCATGTTTCAATTAAGAATAACTGTCAAATGATTACAAAATGTTGTAAATTTCTAATAAAGTTCAAAATTTGTTTAAAAATATAAGAGTATGAAAAAATATATAATAAGATTGCATGAGGTCACCCTTCTTCCTCTAAAGTCTCCATAATAATTTAAAAAGAGGTTTATAATTGCAATTAATGTTGATTTGTGTGTTTAAGCAACAATCAGGGTTTAGTTTCATTTCTTTGGATATCTCAAGATCTACCAAGAGATTCACGAGTCTAAAGTTTTTATTGGGAATGTTGTGTAAAATGTTACTAAAAATCTTTTGATTTGTGATTGCAGGTAAAGCATGAAGTTGTGAGACACATCAGTGCATGGGAGTTTTGTCCAAGCGGACAAATGCAAGCTGCTGTTCCATTTATACAACAAGTGCTTTGCAAGTCAACCCATATCTTGTAACTTAAAGTTAAGGTAGTTGATATGCATTATAAACTAGATTACGATAGTTATCGGGTTATATTAGATAGTTTAATAATATAAGTACAGCATAGAGTACAGATCTGATATACTACTCTCTAATTCTGATTGTAATGACTTAAAAAAAACTGTTTTGAGAAACTTATAAATATATAGATTAATAAAATAAATGTATTTCCAGTTTATGCGATAAAACAAGTTTTAAAAAATTTTAGAGAAGAGATTTGTTCTACTTACCGACAGCTGGTGCATCATATGAATCTCCTAAAAGTATTTCAGGTGCTGAATACGCTAAACTACCACACGAGGTTTCTAACTTTTGACCGGGATAAAACTTATTGCTAAAACCGAAATCTGTCAACTTGACAATGCCCTGTTTCTTGAAAAATACTACATTTTCAGGCTTCAGGTCCCTATGTACAACGTGCAACTGATGACAATATGATATCGCCCTGAAAATAATCAATATTTTATTAATATTACCAAAAAATAATCTTGGTAGATAAATATAAAGACTGGGAAAGGCTTATTATAGTTAAAAAATTAAAGATACTTAAAAAATTTAGTAATTTCATTTTGTTCCACTTCCCAGATTGACACATGATAAGTCTGACCTTCTACAAAACTGTTGACTCGTTAACAGTGAGTTCTTTGACATGAATGTAAATAGTCTTCATCTATTATTAAAAAAGTAGGTAAGTGGAAGAAATTTTATAATAGTTGTCTTCATGTTGTTGAAACTTAATCCCAATAGATTCCACAAAAATCGTGCCGTTACTGGGAAAATGCGATTTATGTGCAATGGATAATGACCCAGTTGGTAAAAAGAAAGCATCCGTGAAACAGCACAATTTTGATAGTTATATGGTAGCCATGGATGTCTAAAGTTAATTTATCCTTGTGATAATGAGTTATTTTACCAAATAGACTAAGGCCCTTTCTATTCCAAAACCGGGAGCTTCTATGGTTGTAGATATATGAGTTAAAGAATTCTTCAGCCGTTTTGGTGTTCCCTTAGGAAGGATTGTTTAGAATTCACGAATGGAAGTTAGAAGTAGGTGTTGCTCTTTGGTTTGCTATATATACTCCATAAAAAAATCTAGACCATTCTCCTAAAGACAATGACAACGTCCCTATGAAAATAAAAAATGATATACCAGATTAAGAAACGGCCAAAAAAAACAAAAAATTGTTTACATAAATAGTCATGCAACATGTGCCGTCTCAAATGATACTGGTGAAGCAGGAACCCTTTGACAACATCAAAACATATAGATAAATGCAGATTCGATGTGACTATCGATGTACAAAGAGATCTTTTTACCATTTCTGAAAATATCTCCCTTTCTCATTTTGTCACCCAAAATCTTAATATGACCAAGAGAATCTCATCTGTATTTAACAAAAAGTTTGGTCTTTTGGAGCTGAAGAATCAGCAGCCTATAATTACTAATATGTGCGTCTTCGTTGAAGGTGGCTTTCGATCATTTTTGTAGCTGGTGCTCAAGTAATCATCTACCAAAAGGACAGGTTACGAGAACATATGGCGCACGTAAACTGATTTGAAACAAATGATGTGCAATTATATTGGAAATTTTGTTTTACCAATGACTGAGTCGGAAAACCTTTGGAAAATATTGCGAAGCATGAGTGGGCAATCCGAAAGAACCACGCCCTTCAAAAACAGTTTTGCTATTTCTTACTCCAAGGCTTATGTAGAGCTGTAAACCCCTGCCACTTTGACCACGAAGAAGAGATGGCAGGAATTTCTGGTCGGGGCGGTCAGAACTAAAAGGAGACAGTATGACGTACGTCCAAACCTGTAGTAGCAATGTATTTAACATACCTCGAATATGTTGCATTAATTGCGGCGATATAAAAATTCCCTGAAAGATCGACTATTTTATAGACTATATCTTAGTCTATATTTTAGGATTAGTAAAGCAATTGTAAAAATAAATAAAAGTCTAGCATTGAAATAATCAATAGGTCCACATCAATTTTTATAGCTGTATGTCCGATAAACTTTAGGGGAATCTACAGTGAATCACGAATACTAACACTAATCACAAAGTTAAGTTTCAAAATAATGAAGTATGCAGAAGCAAGTATTATCCCAACAGGAGTCGAAACTATTAATTCTTATTGAGAAAAAACAATTAGAAAAAAAGATGTTTTTTCTATGTATTGATATCTATTATATCCAAAAAGTTTGCCACGTTTCAGTATGTACTTACCTTACAATTTGACTAAAGTACTCTTTGGCAACTTTTTCAGGAAGTCCAGTCTCATGACGCATGATATATTCATAGAGGTCACCCCCATCGCCCAACTCCAATACTAAATAAAGTTTGGTAGCCGTATCTATGACCTCGTACAACCGAACGACGTTTGGATGCTGAACTAATTTCATACAGCGAACCTATAAAAAGAGGAACAAAAAATATATTAAAGAATTTCAATACTCTTTAGAGTAGCTCATTTAAAAAATTACCCAGGCTCTGCCAATTTACCGATTTGTTTCTGATAATGGGTTTGAATGCTTGTTTGATTTTTGAATTCTCCGGACCGGAGAAAATTGTAAAAAATTGGGAAAAGCATTCTACTTTTCTGTACAACTGTGTGCAGAAATATATAGGTCAGTAACGTAGATTTCGTTTTTAAGGCACTATAGAATGCTAAAATATTGTTCTGGAGCTCTTTTCTTGTGGCATTTTAAAGTAATTATTATTTAAATGGGAAATAAGCCACAATTTAAAGGTTAAAGTAAGTTTATTGACGTTTCAGTTTCCACTTCCGAAATCGTTCTCAAAATCGTATTTTCATTTTCAACATTTTTTTTGATCTTATCTATTAAGTACGGCAATCAAACTTTTTTATACACATATATTATACAGCTTTTTAAGATAACAACATTTTTTTCCATTGTTCCTGTACTTTAGAAATTGTACCAAAAATTTTTGTCCCAGAATTACTACTCCATGGCAGACAGTTAATCTCTGAATTGGCAAACCTGAAATTTAAAATTCGAGAATGTGTTTTAAAAACGAAGTACCCTTACGTGATAGTTTACCACTTTACCAGAAAATGGCGGACATTGTACCGTTTTAAATTTGTTTTAACTATAAAATATTTATGTATAAAATTTTGTAGTACGCCCCTGTCGAGAAGAAATTTTTTCGTTTATCTTTTGCAAAGGAATTTTAAAACGATCGATATATGGCGTTTTAAGTTCAACGTACCTAGAAAAAATAAGTCTTGTATTCATTTGTCTAAAACGCAATAACGCCGGAAGTGGATCCAAGGTTATTTTTCACGATTGGTAAGTCGTAACGAAAGGGAGTCGAGTTACTTGGTGGGTACGGGTTGTAAGAGGCGTGGGGGGAAGTAATTTGCGTTTGGTTTGTAGATCTAACGAAGGTCAATGTTAGGTTTTGGAAGGCATTCACCCTGAAAGGACGTGTGGCATTTTAACAAAAAAAAAACGGGCAATTTGTTGTAATGGTTTGAAGGAAATGGCGTAAAGTGGTAGAGACCGGTAAATGGTGAAAATTACTCCCTGCAATATGGCAGATTAGAATAGAGTAACCACTGAATATGGTTGGATTTTTATATACTGGATGTTTTGGAAGGCGCATCTCATTTAAATCAAACTTCCATAAATATTTGCCGGATCCAACGTATATTCGATAATTTGGAATCTGTTTTGAGAAATTGTTTGCGCATGCGTAACTAGTGCCTCACGAGCCCACGTAACACACAACGAGCCTACGTAATACGTAACGAGCCTACCTCGTATACGGGCACATTAACGACCCCTGTATACCACAGCTCGAGTCGCTATCATTGTACGTCATAAAATGTCACGTTTTATGTCAAAAATTAGCTCGCGTAACATGGCCCTACCTGGTATACAGACATTTTAACGACCCCCTGTATACCACGGCTCGAGTTGCTACCATTCTATACCATGAAACGTGACGTCTCGCTCTCTCTAATACATTGTTTTCCCAATTCCTATAGTCATGACAGCTTATCTCTCTCTAACACATTGTTTTCCCTATTCCTGTAGCCATGGCCGTGTTGTACATCTACTGTTTTTATAATAAAGTATTTGTGAACTTTTACATATAAAATACATACCTTTCATCGCATTATATTTGTTAATTAATGTTTGTTAGCAAAATTTGTTAACAAATTCAATCAGAAATTGTACTAATTTGTATACCTTAATGTTTAGCGGGATTCGTTCTATCTGATGATTAAACCATTCTATTTTAATATATTTATAGATTGTGTAACGAAATCGGCATTTGTTCCAAACGCGATAATTGCGTTAAAGGTACATTTTAACGTAATAGAAGTGTTAATTTTAGGGAAGTTGGTAAAATGCGTAAAAATTAAAAATTGTTTATTATACTAACTTGGAAATGCATGAAATGTAAGAAAAATCTAATCAAAATTTCTAAAGGTCATTCACTTTTGTCATATTAGTATTTTTCAAAATAGTCGCAAATTAAACTATTCATTAACAATTCAGTAGCTTTGATATTTTGAAAACAATCATTAAAAAATGATTCAATAACATAAATTTTCCACTTGTTGCATGGAATGTTCTGTATTTAAATTTTTCATGAAAATAGTGCCGAAAATTAAATAATACACAAACTAAAATTCAGGAGCCTGGAAGAGTAAGGGCGAACCGCAAAAACCAGGTTTCGGGAAAAATGAGTTAAAGTTTACGGACATATTAAAATAGTAAGGGCGAATAAGTGGTGCTACGATAGTAATGAGGTCTACCGTCGCGTTTTTACTATATTATGCGGTGTATCTTTACAGTGAATAAAACGCGTAACACGTAAAAATTAAGAATTATTATTATAATTTTATACTCTCTTATTCTCAACCAAAATAGTAAATTGATATGACAAAGTATTAACCTGTAAAACTAAAATAATAATTCGTTTTACCTATGATTTTATTTACCTGTAAAGATGGTATTTGGGAGTGTAAACACGTTATACCTATTGATATGTTGGCCTATCACCATAATCTTTTCTGAGAAGAGTTTGAACACAATAATGAAAGGCATCCTTTGTAGGCAAAATATTTATTGCTAAGTACTAATAAACATTTTATAAACTTTATGATTATGCAAATTACATCGTAATCCCTTCCCAGGGGTTTCAAAATCCAAATCCTTCAGGTAGATTAAACCATTGAGGTGGAATGCATACTCTAGTAGAACCGAACAAGTTTTATTTTATTAATAGAAAATAAAAGAGGATTTTGCAAGATTTGCAAGGATTTTATGAAATAAAATGAAAAGAGGTTTAATATTTTTTATTCTACAAATATAAACATACCTAGTTTTTTTAACAGGTTTCTGTGAGAGCTAGTGGTAGTGGAATAAGTTGCAAAATTCACAAATACAGCTTCAATTAAACTCTATTTGATTTTCATCGTCAACAGTTTCTTCTACTTCAGTTATATCAATTCCTCCACTAATAGCTTCTTGTAAAGTATGTTTGTGAGGCATGGGTACATAATCAAGAAGATCTTGTAAGTCTTTTTTCTTTTCTTTTGTAAGCTTGATGGCACCCTGGTATTTGAGAGGAAGTTCTATACTATCTAAGTTAAAATTTGTTACATCGTGAAGTCTCTTTCGTCCCTTTTGGAGTATGACATTTGTAGAAATATCCGTGTTGTATGCTATTTGAATTTTAAAACCCATCTTAAAATCTGTTGAAAATTCGAATATTCTACCATCCTTGAAGTTAGCTCCCAATATTTGAGATTTAGTTGCTGCTTTTTGAAGAACGCTGAAATCCTTAACCATTTCCCTCGTGACAGTAACAACTTGGAATTTGTTCTTTTTTTCGTGTGTTCAATGAAATGGATATAGTGTTGTTTTGAAAATACTTCACAGTCCTTAATCTTTAATTTAATTGAACCGAAATTTCGATCACAACCCATCATCGAATGACATTAAAAAAACGTGCTTAATAAGATCAAAGCGGTTTGCATGAATGTGACGGAGGTTAGACAAAACAACGTTTATGTTCTTATTTTGTCCGGCACAGTTATCACTAAAAATTATAACTTGTCGCACTTGCTTGTTAACAAAGTTTTCCAAGTAGTGACTGAGAAAACTGGCTATTTCACACGATCCGCGTTTAGCGATGGTTTCATCCCATACATACATTACAGCTGTTCCAGTTTTAACGTTATGGATTCCTAAATTATAAGTCCACATTTTTCTTTTGTAATATTGTACGTTGCAGGTAAGTTTAGGCGTGGGTAATGCTTGTTGTAAATCAACACATATAACTTCAATATTTGTATCCTGGTTGCTTTCGTAGCTTTTCATCATTAACTGAGCAGCTTTCTGCTTTGCTAAATGAACCTTCAGTTTCGTATCCAATTCAGTTATTTGGGGAGAATTCGGGTTACTAGTCTTTAACCCATTAATTTCAATTTTAGTCTTAGAGCAGGTATTACATTCATCAACTGAAGGAGGCTGAACACCTATATTAAATTCATTGAAAAATATTTCGGTAGTAGGACTCTATCACAGGCTGTTCTTCAGGATATATGTTTCTTAGCCATTCCATATAAGCTCCATATGCCCCAGTAATTGATGAACCCGGTGGCATATATTTTCGAAAAGGACTTTTGGCTCTGTTATAGTGACTGGAAACAGTAACAAGAGAATCAATGTGATCTCTGATCAACTGCTTTCTATATCCAACCATTTTATTTCCTGGGCATAGCTTACCTCTATTGTCACTCAGCACAGTTCCTGTGGTGGTCTGCTTGTCTAAAACAACGCGAACTCTTTTTTCACTTATCCCATGGATGCTAATAAAAGCCTGACGACAAACACATTTTCTTTCTCCATTTATTGAAACACTATACTCTATGGTCTGAAGCTTTCTACTAGCTCTGTCAGTAATTAAAGACTTTTTGCAATCACTGAAACTTAACACTTTTGAAAGGTATTGGTTTTGATTATCATAGTTGCCCAGTTGCCAAAAATTATTAAAAATCATATTGATATTGTTTATGCCCAACTTTTCAAAACACGTTTTACGACACTTACATGGTGGTCCGATTGTGCGTGCAGATACAGGTCTGTTTGTATTTCTCGAAATGTACGCTTCACCACAGTTTCGTTTGATTTTACACACGTTAACAATCCATTGTTCCGTGTTCTTTTACTTCCGCCTGGTCGTGTTCTCGGCGTTCATGTTGAAAATAAATCGGAAAAAAACAGTACAACTTTAACGCTAATGTAACCTCGGTTTTTCCTTAAAATACGAATAATAAAAACTACAAGCATACGATCGTACAAAAAAACTCAAGAAAAACGCATACATCTGCATACAACGCAAGAATGTCTCGCCAACTAAAGCTACAAAAATACCAACAGGGTTATAGAGGAGTAGGGGGCGAACCTTGAACGGAAATGCAACGATAGCTTGTGGGTTCGCCTTTCCTCTTCTAGACGATTATGCCGTTTAGTTTCTGACATGAATTGGTTGCTATCTTATTTCCTACAGAATTTTGGGAGTATGAAGGCCGAAACGTGGTGTTATAATGATACAGATGTAGTCTTTAATAGTATATGAGCAAAAAGAGACTGTTTTTAAAATGACCATTTTTCAAATTCGCCCTTACTCCTCTAAGCTCCTGAATTATAATTTATGCTTTTTGCAGGCTACGAAAAAACTGCAATAACTGTGTATGAAAACAAAAATTAAGTACTAAACAATAAAAAAAGTTACTATTAGCGCGTTTTTTTTTTGTATTGAGAAAAACTAGGAACCATATTAAAGTCCTCGCACTCGTGACGTTTGTTAAGAGACATTTTTTGTGTCTAGTTTAAATATATTTTTATCCGATTACACTTTTATTTTTAACGGAAGTTTTTAGAGACGGAACAGCTGAACGCATTTTTAATCACATATTTTCACAGACAGTTAAATTGGGCTATTGAATAAGAGAAAATACAAAAAATATATTTCGGTCGATAGTATAAGCGGATTCATTGATAGAATTTTTAAAACGGAATTTTGAAGACAGCGTCCAAATGGGAACATCGACCAAATGTGATGGGATTCGTATAAAAAATAATAAAAAACTTTGTGTTCTAAATTGTGAATAATACAATATAACGAGACATTACTCCTACATTATTTTAAAATTGACTACAAAACTGAATATTGTTCTGAAGCTATTTTCTTGTGGCATTGTAAATTAATTATTATTTAACTGGGAATAAGCCACAATTAAGGATAAAAATACGTTTATTGACGTTTCAATTTCCACTTCGGAAATCGTTCTCAAAATACAAACAGTAAATTGAGAATCAATCAGAAAATAATGAAGATCTAAAATACAGAGTGGCCAAAAGTCTGGAAACGGCTAATTATCTCGTAAATTACTAGACATAATTATACAAAATTTGAGATACGCCTATTTTGGGATACGGAGATTCCATATTTGGTATTTGCAATGTTGCCAGATTTTCAGTTTCTCTTATATTACTAGTAACTTTGGTTTTTCAAATGCATCACCCTGTATATTCAGTCATTTTTGGAATCTCCTATTCAATACGAGTTCAACCATATGTAACACTTATGATTTTATGTAGTCTGGAAGGTCTTAAATACATAAAACAGAAGTCTGGCAACGCCTAAATTGTTTCAATACATTTTTTAATACTAACTGTTTTCAAATACATTAAAACGTAACAATTGATAGTTTAGAATATTTTTTAACATAATAGTTACGTTATTAAGTGTTTAAAATGTGCTCCATTTGTGAGTTGACAGCACTCTAATCGATGGTAGAATGCGTCTACCACATTTCTCCATGATTGTCTAGAAATTATTCGAGATTCATCGATAATTCATTGCCTTAGCTATGCAAGACTTGCTGGTTAAGTTTTGTAAACTGAATTTTTCAAGTATCTCTAATAAAAATAATCTTTAGGATTGAGATCGGGTGAACGTGGAGGCCATTCAATTCTACCTTGTCTACCAATTTATTGTCCGGGAAATATCTCATTATCACCAACTACACCATACTACACCAACTATTTGACGTTAAATTTCTTTCGATAAAAAATGGCCCAATTAAATAAGTACCTACTATAACTGACCAAACATTTAATTTTTGTGGTCTATGAGTATGGTTTTCACGCATTCAGTGTGAATTTCACACGAGTTCAGCTATTCAATACGAGTTCAACCATATGTTCACTTGATTTTATGTAGTCTGAAAGATCTTAAATACATAAAACAGTGCAAAATATGTAGATTTTAATAAATTTAAATATTTAAATGGAGAATGCTGTGATTTTGACATTTGTTCACCATTTAAATTATGAACTAAAATTGACAGTAGTTGTGGTTCAAAAAGTTCTGCAATTTAAATTGCTTCTCTAAAATGCCGTTCTGTAAACCGTTCTCCTATTCATAAGACGACGGTACAAAAAACTGTAAGGCGATTTGAGGAATCTGGAGAAGTAAAAGATAGATACCGATCAGGTTGACCGAAACGAGTTATCAATGACAACAAAACTTCAGATATAAGCAAAGTTTTGTTGAAGATCCGCATACATCCCCAGGCAGGGTTGCACAAGTACATGATGTAGGTCATTCTTCAGTCTTACGTTTATTACGTAAAAATAAATTTAAATCATACAAAATTATTAACTTATTGCAAGAATTAAGTGAAGATGACTTTGGTCGTAGATTAGAGTTTACTGAGGTAATGATGGATAAAATTGAAAATTAATAAAGATTTCGTTAACAGAATATGTTTTTCCGATGAAGCAACTTTTACACTGTGTGGAAGTGTAAATCGACACAATTTAAGGTACTGGTGTGACGTAAATTCACACTGAAGACTGAATGCGTGAAAACCATACTCAAAGACCACAAAAATTAAATGTATGGTCAGATATAGTAGTTACTTATTCAATTGGATCATTTTTTGTCGAAAGAAATTTAACGTCAGATAGTTGGTGTAAATGTTCGGCGATATTTAGATGAGATATTTCCTGGACGATAAATTGGTAGACAAGGTAGAATTGAATGGCCTCCACGTTCACCCGATTTCAATCCTAAAGATTATTTTTATTAGGGACACTTCAAAAATTCAGTTTACAAAACTTAACCAGCGAGTCTTGCAGAGCTAAGGCAACGAATTATTAATGAATCTCGAATAATTTCTAGACAATCATGGAGAAATCTGGTAGACGCCTTCTACCATCGATTAGGGTGCTGTCAACTCACAAATTGAGCACATTTTGAACACTTAATAACGTAACTACTATGTTAAAAAATGTTCTAAACTATTAATTGTTACGTTTTAATGTATTTGAAAATAGTTAGTATTAAAAAATTTATTGAAACAATTTAGGCGTTGCCAGACTTCGGTTTTATGTATTTATGACCTTCCAAATTACATAAAAAGTGTTACATATGGTTGAACTCGTATTGAATAGGAGATTCCAATAATGACTGAATATACAGGGTGATGTATTTGAAAAACCAAAGTTACTAATAATATCTATAAGAAAAACGGCAAATCTGGCAACATTGTAAATATCAAATATGTAATCTCCGTATCCCAAAATAGGTGTACCTCAAATTTTGTACAATTATGATTAGCATTTTACGAGATAATTAGCCGTTTCCAGACTTTTGGGCCACTCTGTATACTGAACAACTGAAGTAACGGGAAGAAAATTAAAAAACCTTTCAAATATCTGAAATCTTTCAAGTTCTAAAATTCAAAACTGGCCTATTTCACGATTATCACGATACATCTCCGATTTATCTAGTTAACATAATCCAAAGAAACCATATGAGTTATAGGTTATCAATAAAATTGTGTCGATGTATGTCATTGGTAGCTTTTCTACATTTGACGACGAAATAATCGGGTTAAATTTACAATTTTCATTTATTAACGGATGTAGATTAATTAATTATATATAATTAAATTAATTAAAAAGTTTAATGTAAAATTTGTCGTTTAATTGAAACTAAACTAATTTAATTACCATACCCTAATTGCGTATAACAAGCTATAGAGGAAAATTTTAATGAATGGCATTTAAATGTTTCTGTATAAATACTTTAGCATGCTCCACACAACGATGTTTTATTTAATATTTTCATTGAAATGTTCTAAAATATTTTTAAATTTCCTCGGATTTTGTTTTCTACATATTCTAAATTTGGAAATATTCGGTGACGTATTCTGACCGCATAATGATTGTTGTCTTGTTTCTATTTATATAAAAGTACTTACCTCTTGAAAAAGGTGCGCCTTGGAAACTTCATCCAGCTTACTTTTGTCTATTACCTTCACAGCAACTTTTTCTCCGGTAAAGACATGGCGGGCGAGTTTCACTACGGCGAAATGGCCTCTGCCGAGTGTCTCCTCCAAGTCATATAGTCCAGCTATTTTACCATCGTACTGCTTTGAAAGGTAGTTCGAATTGAATTCTTGAGTACCTACTTTACTACTGGGGCGAAGATTCCTGTTCATATTCAGGGACCTGTAACAACCGATAAGCTTTTAAAATGTTAGTTAAACGTTAAATCTCAAATAAAAATAAATTGTTTATTAATATTTATTTCCAGAGCGCAAGATGAATAATGCAAGAATAGTGACAAACTGGATCGCAGCTGCACAGGACAGAGAAGAGTGGAGACATCTTGAGGAGGCCTATGTTCGACAGTGGACAAATTTGGCTGTATGATGAAGATGAATAGTGGATTAGAAGAATTACGTAACGAAGATAACAAGACATGATGTTATGGCTTATGCGGCTTACCTGGTCAGATAATATACAGGGTGTTTCAAAAAAAGGTAACCTCGTCTCTAGGGTAGGTAAACAACTGAAAAATAATTGGGGTTTGCTTAGTAAAAAATTTTTGTAACGCCATCCGTTTTCAAGATACAGGGCGTTGAAGAAAAAAAATTTACGCATTTTTTACGATTTTGCCGAAACTACTGGCAACATTGTAATGAAATTTTATACGAATATGTTTTGGAAGCTGATACATCCCATGAATTTGTTTTTTATATCTGATTCTCATAGAGGGCGCTAGTTCCACGGATCGTACTAAGTATTAGTCAATATAACTTTTTTAAGAGTATAATTATTAATCAAAATTTCAAGTAAACTTAAGGGGACAGTCTCATGCGATTAAAAAAAAAGACACATTTTAAAATTAAAGCAGAAAAAAAAAACTGATAATATTTATTAACATAATTCCTTTTGGAGATGATGAAATAAGTCTTGAAGTACATAAAAAAAATTTTTAATAGCGATTTTAACTTCATTGGTGTCCTGTAGATGGCGTATAGTAAAAAGTGCGTTTTTGGTGGTAAGACACTTTGTGGGTCACCTGTAACAGATATTCAAAAAATTCAAAATGGGTTGTATTCGTGAGACTCAAAACTAGATGATAAACCTTTAAAATATGCAAATTGTATTATTTTGAAGAGTTTATACGAATTTTTTCAAAAAAGTCGAAAAATCGCTATAGTTTTTCGGTGGATTTACCTATATATAATAAAAGGGGGGGGTGGTTTTTAAATATTTTAAAGGTATATCATCTAGTCTTTTGTATATACATTCGAAAAATTTTTGGTTTTTTAAAATCGGTTAAGAAGGTTCGGAGAAAAGTGTCTGACCGGTTTGAAAATGTAACTTTTGAGAAAAAAGCATTTAAAGTTTTTTTACATAATTTTCGTGAATTAAAGGCTGATAACTTTATACTCACGTTTAATCGGCCATTCCTGGTGAATATTGAGGTCCCTCTTCATCCAACAGTTGTTGTAAATGGCTTTGTAAAGCTTTTTTTTTTTTATTTGATGTTTTATAATTCATTAGTTCGACTGGAGTCTCAATTCACGCCGCGATGCTGACAGTGTAAGTGTAAAAACGGAACACATCTAGATCGCATGTCAATTCAACGAAAACGTATCTACTTATTTATAGATGTAGATATGAAAATATTTTATAACTAAAAAAATGGTTATGTTTTATTGCCAAAACGGCTTGAAAAAAAGTTGATTTCTAAAATTAAAAATAAAAAGGATTTTTAAAAATAAAATAATTATGTTACACTCTTTTTAATTTGAAATTATAAACAATATTTGGAATAATAAATGTATTTAAGTATAAATTTTATAACTTAAATAATACCTAATGAACACAAACAAAATTGATGTTAATAAAACATTATTTATTATCTGCACAAAACCGGACTTTCAGGAAAAATCGATAGACGGAGCAACACTGTCGGCGTGCCATATACGCTACTACAAACCGCTGAGGAGAAGTAACAGTAATCCAGTGGACCAAATAAATTAGTTATAAAACATCGCGACGTTATAAAAAAATTTACACTGGTTAATTGCAACGCAGAGAATCTTGGTATTTGTAAAAAATCCTATGTTCCGGATTTAAAATTCCAAATGTGTCTAGTAACTGCCAAACGTTATAAAGATATACATACTATATAAAAATGAATCACTAATACTTACCCAACGTATATGCAACATATATACAAAAGCAAGAACAGCTGGAGCCTCGCGCTCGCCGCGCGGTGAGAAACCGGTTTTCATACGTGCGTAGCTGACGTTAATAAAATAACTATAACTTATATACTACTGGGAATTTCTTTTTAAAATTTTAGGAGGGAGTTTTTGAATGTAAATGGAACCGATTTATGTAAAAAAAATTTTTTGATTTTTTGAAAGTTTCGCATGAGACTGTCCCCTTAATTCAATTTTACACGAAAAAGGTACTCTTGGTAAAACTCGATACTGTTTACCGTTTTCGGAATATTTTGATTTGAAAATTATGAAGTAATAATTGATGCTGGTATAAAATAGTTAGTAATTAAACAAAACTCACAAAAAGAAAATTAAATTAATGACTAAGAACATAAAATAAAATTCAATTACAGTAAGTGTTCAAAATGCCCTGCGTTTTTGCGAATACACAAGTATGTTCTTCTTTCTAAAGATTCCATTAACCTTCTAAACGGTAGGGGATCAGCTATGATGTCATTAAATTGACGTTGAATTCTTTCTTCCAATTCTTGGCGTGAATTTACCTCTGTAGCATAGACTTTTTCCTTAATATACGACCAAACTGCGTAGTCCAAAGGGTTAAAATCGCATGACCGAGGAGGCCAATAAATCGGAGCTTCTGCACCTTTACCAATCCATCGATTCGGAAAATAATTACTCAACCAATTACGACACCTTCTATCAAAGTGTGGTGGAGCTCCATCGTGCATAAGAAATAAAGATCTTCGCTCTTTTAGCGTTAAATCTTCTAATATCTCGAATAAGGAATGGTTTAAAAAATCAAGATACATATCACCATTTAAATTTCCAGGTGGACTATGATAACCTATTAATTTGTTACCTAAAGTTGCTGCCCAAACATTAACTTTAAATGAGTGTTGGTAATGTTATACCCTTTTGACTCGTGGATTCTCATCACACCAGTAGTGTGCATTATGGGAGTTAAACATACCTTGTCGCGTAAAGGTGGCCCCGTCCGTAAAAAGAATGCATTTTAAAAAATTTGGATTGTGGGCTGTCCTTTGTTGCAATGATTCACAAAAATCCACTCTAACCGGTAGATCATCTGGCAAGAACTCTTGGACTTGTCTGTAATGATAAGGATGTAATTGCTGTTCTTTCAGTATCCGCCAAGTACTTGAAGAAGAAGTATTTGTTTGCCTTGCTATATTCCTTACACTAACTGTTGGATCTTAATCAAGTAAATTTAAAATATTATTTTCTTTATTAATTGTTCTTGTTGTTCTTGGTCTACCAGAATTTATTTTATTTGGTCTCACATTCCCAGTACAACGTCGTTCAACGGCTCTAAATGTTTTTTTACTTGGTAAGTTTCTTCTAGGAAACTTTTCTGCATAACGTGTCACAGCTGCACTAGAACATCCTAATCATTTGCCTAAGGTTAATAACATGTCAGTGTATTCAATAATTAAGTACATTTTGATTTAATTTTACAAATAACAAGGTTTCAAAACTCTAATTATTGTTGATTTATCGTCATAACAATCAATAAATGTCAGATTTCCATGGCACACTTTGAGAAAATAGAGGTATACCTATTAGAACTTTATTATTACTACCAGCATCAATTATTACTTCAGAATTTTCAAATCAAAATATTCCGAAAACGGTACACAGTATCGAGTTTTACCAAAAGTACCTTTTTCGTGTAAAAGTGAATGATGTTTAAGTTTAATTGAAATTTTGATTACATACAATTATACAATACAATTAACAATTATACTCTTAAAAAAGTTATTTACTAATATTTAGTATGATCCGTGTAACTAGCGCCCTCTATGAGAATCAGATATAAAAACAGATTCATGGGATGTATCAGCTTCCAAAACATATTCGTATAAAATTTCATTACAATGTTGCCAGTAGTTTCGGCAAAATCGTAAAAAATGCGTAAATTTTTTTTTCTTCAACGCCCTGTATCTTGAAAACGGATGGCGTTACAAAAATTTTTTACTAAGCAAACCCCAATTATTTTTCAGTTTTTTACGTACCCTAGAGACGGGGTTACCTTTTTTTGACACACCCTGTATATTTCATCAGGTTCTGAATGTTATACTGGTCTTCAAATGTAGGGTTTAATAATATTAATAATAATTAATAGGCCCACACAAGTCCAAAATGACAAAATTTACCAAAAGGAGGAATTTATAGGGATTGGGAATCAAATAAATCAAAATCTGGTGAGCAAAGTGAAGTATCTTGGAGTAATATTATAATGATAATATCAGCAGATAACATGAATAACAAAAAGAGCAGTGACTACATTAATGGTAGCGAGAGGCGCTAATGGAAAAATAGGAGATTTAGAACCAGACATGCTCAGGAGGTCTTACTGATCATGTATTTAGGAGGCCTTACTGATCATTCCTGACAAATCGTTATAAGGAACGAGGTGAGAATGGGATGTTACAGACTGCCAAGAAATAAAAATATTTAAAAATTCTAAAAAAATCATTTTTTACTTTTCTTGTTTATAACTTTAAAAGAATTCATTTTACAGCAAAGGTCTAGGTTCAGCGATAAAGCAGGCCATTCACGTTCCGACTTGTGGTACGACTAGTGGTCCAACTTCTGCAGTTGGATCTGAAATCGGACCGTGAGTGGGCTAGTTGGATTAGTTGGACAACTAGTGGTACGACTAGTGGGAAGACTTGAAGATCCGACTTCCGACTGGCGACTAAGTCGGAGCGTGAATGGTGAAGTTGGAAGTCGGATCACAGGTTGGATCGAAAATTTCCTCAGTCAGTTGACTTTCGGCACCTGTTACGTATGAGATTTCTATGAAATACTTTACGCAAAGATCTCTAGTTCGCGAATATTTAATAGAAAATAAACTTTCAATTGCACGAAAATTACCTTTTTGTTGGGGCAAATCATTTTCCTTTCTGTAGATCTATTTCGGACATTCCTACACAGGTAAATTTCCGA